GCACACACGCCCAGCGTGAGTTTTAAGCCACCGGGTCCGGGACACGAACCGCGGTCGACTACGTGGGAGTCCAGCGACATAGCCATTATGCTAACTGCTGCTTCCCCAGATGTTCTTTTTCATCCCAGAGGGAGTGCCATAAGAAAATAAAGGAAGAGATAGGTGAGAGAGTCTTTCTGTTATAAAGAAGAAGAAGAGCAATTGTGAAAGAGGAGGTGAGAAAAGGGAAACCTATAGACCAGAGGCCCATCTTCAAAGCAGATTAATCATAGTCTAGGACACAAAGTAAAGTCAAGGATTTAGAAACTGATTTCAGGGCCAGACCTGTAGCTCAGTAGTTAAAAGAGCTGGATGCCACATGACCAACAGCAGTTGGAATCCTGACCCTGGTGGCCTGAAATGCACATTAGGCATGTGAGCATATGTTTCCAAAATCCTGACAGAATAGAGAAAAGGAGAAGGGATTGTGCCATGACCACACACCCCCAGGGTGCTTTTTCCCTCATTCTGTCTCTGGTGAACCTTCTGACAACTAAAAGAATAGAAATTGATTTCCATTCAACAATGTATGTACCTACAGATGTTACAGAAAATGTTTATGGCTCAGCTGCTGGCATGGTGGTTAAGGCAGCTGGATCTCACATGACAGACTGCACGGTTTAAGTCCCAGATCCAGCAGCTTGAAAAGCATGCTGACACGTGTGTGTATGTACCCAAAATCCCTAAAGGAGGAAGAGATGGAGAAGGGATTGCAGCATGATCATCCCTCACGGGATGGGTCTCTCTCTGGTGAGTATATATGCCCTTTGGTGTATCTTTTTTTTAAAAAAGAAGGGCAAAAGAAAGAGTTTGTGTACCCTTTCCACACATTTCTGCCTCGGCAGAAAACAAGCGAGCAAAGCTAGGAGCCAGGAAGTACAGAGGAGTAAGGAAATGAACACACAAAACTTTTTGTTGCATGTGTAAGATTGGAATAGACACAGGAGAGGAGCTAAGGATGCACTCACATATGGACATGGAGAGTAACGGAGAGTACTGACTATGTGCTATGTGAGGCTCATTTATAGACCTCATCTTGTTTAACCCTCATAGCTCCTCATCATACAAGTGTGCTGGAGAGCATCAGTGTGAGGGAGAGCCAGTCAGCACGCTCTCCTGCCTTTCTCCAGCTCTGCTTCTGGCAGCCCCAGAGCAGGCTGGGAATCTGGGAAGATGTGTCTGGTAGGAGACTGAAGGGGTGAGGGATTCAGGAATGTTAGCCAGGATATAACTGAAATGCCTGAATAGATAGGGAAGAGGGCCAGGGGTAGGTTGGAGGAGGAAAATGCTAATAGACACAGGTTACAGAGGGTAACCTGAATGAAGGAGGCGAGCATACGAAACCAAGGAAAGGAATCCTGGAAATTGGGATGTGGTTTTATTTTAAAATGTCAAAATTTTTAATACATCAAAAATTATATCTTTTGTGGGCCAGCAGAAGGTGTGGTGGTTAAGGCACTGAACTCCCACATGGCTGACCACGGCTTGATTCCTGGACCTGGCGGCTTACTTTCTTAGCTTCTCTCTTTCTCTGACGAGTGCATGTGCCTATGGCAAATTAAAAAATAATAGCAACAATAAATAAAATAAAATAGTTCTTCTTTTAAAAATTATATCCTTTGAAACTATTGAAATTTATGATGATGGCCAGTACCAAACAACAGTGGTTAAGTGCTATGCATTGGGAGCTAAGTCCCACGTGGCTATCTATGGTTCCAATCCTGTCCCTGGCAAATTGGAAAATACACTGGGCACATGTGCATATGTGATCTTGATGAGGAAGGAAAATGGAGGAAAGGGATTATGGCTTGACAATGTCCAACTGTGAGGTGCTTTTCTCTCTCTCTCTCTCTCTCTCTCTCTCTCTCTGGCCAGTACACACACCCTCTGGCAATAAAATTTATGATGAGAAATGGAAACATTGTGGGTGTCTACTTACAAATGTATAAGGGGATACAGAGCTTTTCATGCAGAGTCTGTGCAAAAAGCTTGCAGAGGCCTTGCTCTCTTTGCAGGAGCAAAGAGAAAAAAGCTCCAGGAGTGTAACCCAACTGAGTTAACCCAAAATAAATACATGCCCCTTGGAAGGGACTGACTCAGAAATAACAGGCATTCAGGAATCCCTCATTGAGAAACGGGCATAGGTCTTCCTCTGGATCAGTATTTTGAGGAAGTCTGCTGGAAGCTTCTCGGAATAGTTTCCTGCCATCCTGGGAATAACCACAGGAAGAGACTTCTATATATTCACTGCTACTGTTGTCTCACCATCAGCTTGTAGATGAAAGCAGGTAGGCCTATGAAAATCAAGGGGAAATGGAGCCAGGGCCATTGGATTCAGTCAGTCTTGAAACTGCTCAGGTCTTGACTTCCACTTATGAGAGCTCATATTCTGGCATATTTTAAAGCCAGCTTGAGTAGGATTCTGTTACTTACAGACAAAAAGCATCTAAATTGATGCAAATGCTTTCCTTTAACTTCTAAAAGCCTAGGTCCTACCAAATATTCAATATCTAGCACAAGCACCACCTCTTCCCCATAGACATCACTAAGATCTTTAAGAGGTCCTCCTTTAGTCTTCTGAGCCAGCAACTCATGGGCCCTTTTCACAGCTTTTCCTTTGTACTCCATAGTTACCATGCCACTTCCTGTTTATTGCTCCCAAAGGCCTCCAGAATAAAAACTTCTTCCCAGGGTGGGGAACCAGCAGTTAGCCTAATGGCTATGTCGCTGGACTCCCACATAGTCGACCGCGGTTCGCGTCTCGGACCCGGTGGCTTAAATCTCATGCCGAGCACGTGTGCGTGTGCGTGCGTACCCAAGATCCCAAGAGGAGAAGGGATTGCGGCGTGACCATCCCCCCTGGGGGGTGATTTCTCGCTTTCTGTCTCTATGTCTCTCTCTGTCTGTCTGGCGAGCGCACGGGCCCTATAGCGAAAACCTCTCCAAAAAAAAAAAAAAAAAAACCTTCTTCCCAGGGTTCAGAATGCCCTTGTGATTAAGCCTGTTTCCCTTCCAGTTCTCCTGTCTCACATTCTCCAGTAAGTGCTGAAAGTTGCAGATATGCTCAGTGTCATGCAGGGCAAACACCTGCTATTCTTTAAGCTTCTTGGTCTCTGAGAACATGTTATTTCCATTTCCTGGATTACTACTGCCCACCTTGTGCACTTGACAAGTAGTTATCCCACTATATGGTGGGGATATCTTCACGTTTGTTCTCTTTTTCCTTTTTTCGGTTTTTATTTCTTCAATGAATGAGAGAGAGAGACAACACCCTTCAACAGGAACCACAGAATGGTATCTTGATACAACCCAGCCCCAGCTCTCCATCAGCCCTGGACCAGAGCATGTGTAGTCAGGCCTACTCAGAGAGACCTCAAGACTTGAACCAAGACCTTCCCATGTGGGACTGCCTCACTGAATGTCCACTTTATAGCTGTGCCACTGTCTGGTCCCTTCATGTCTGTTTTCTTCTCTGGATCATGAGCTAAGATGATGTTCTATTCGTCTTGGTATTCTCAGTGCCTAGCACATTTTGGATACCTAGTAAATGTCTGTTATGCAAATTTGTCTAAATGTCTTAGTTACATGACAAGTCTGCCATACTCTTCAGGGCTAACTGGATATGTCTTTCATCTTTGTATCTAAAGAGCCTAGAACAATGTCTGACACAGGGCTGGTGTCCATAGCAATTTGTAAAATTAGGTCCCTTCTCCCAACCTGGATGAGGTTTAAGGCACTGTTATACTCATTTCCTCTGTCCTCTTTCGGATACCCACAGTCAAGAGGGTTCTATAAACTCTGCACTCAATCCTGTCTCCTTTCCGTAACTCATAAACCAATATCCTGTCTGCCAGCACAGAGTACAATCTGCCAGGGGGCCTTAAGTTTATGACACTGCCCGCCTTTTCGCCCCTGCGGTTTACAAGAAAACCACAGCTTCCATCGGTCCCCACCCGTGATGGGACCAAGAGAGTGTCCCTGGCTCTCCGACTCCTGCAGCTGACAGGCACCGAAGGGGAGCTGGGACGGTCCCTGGCAGCGTCCAAGCCCCGCACTGCTGGTGTGCAGGTGGGGATATGGAGGGTGGGGGTGGGGGGCATAATTCCAAGGTCACACCGAGAACCTGGGCCAGGAACGGGCCTAAACGTAGGGGTTCCGCTCAGTGGGCCGGCCGAGGAGTCGGGAGCCCGGCGCCCTCCTCCCCCAGCCGTGACGGAATGAGGTCTCACCGCAGGCCGCCACCGCCCCACGCTCACACCGCTCCGGCTCCGGCGCTGCTCCGCGGTTCGCAGCTGTTGTCTCGGTGTCACGGGCGACAGGCATTGGCCACTTCCGGTACCCGGGCGGCACTCCAGCCAATCAGCGCGCGCCGCACTCCGCCAGAGAAACAGGTGGTCCTCGCGCCCGCGTCGCCTCGCCCTTTCCTGCTTTGCTTTCGCCCTGCTCTCACCCTAATCCAAGCCCTGCCTCGCCGCTGCCTGCCCTGGCGGCTCGGGGATGGCGGTGTGGGACAAGCGACGCCCGCTTCAGCGCCCCGGATCACTGACGAGCTGGGTCCTCCGGCCTTCCTAGAACGGCTCCGGAGATTCACTTCCGCCCCGACACTGGCCGCTCTGCGCGCTGGTGTCGCTCCTCGAAGTTTGCTCTGGGTTGGAGAACTTGGGAACCCCTTCGACTTCTTGGAGGGACTGTTTGCGCGACCTCTTCGCTACCCTAACCCGCATCCGTCTAATCCGGTTACTCGCTTTCATGAGCTCCGTGAGTCTGATACAGACAGGCCCCTAGATCGTAGGAACAGACCCGTCATCTGCTGGGGCCCCAGGGAGATCAGCCGGGAGGTCTCGAGACATTGATGTTTGGGCTGAAATCTGAAG